CCCCCCCCCCACCTCGGGTGCCGCCACCCTTCCCCCATCCTCCGCCTCCACATGTACACCAATCATCCCATCCCCCACATCCACCGCCCTCTCTGCTAGCACGCCACCCACACCTCCGCCTTCATCCACCACTACCTCCACCTTGGTCACCAAGACGACAACCCCCACCGTCACGCAGTCATCAACCATTCCCTCCCAGTCAAAACCCCTAGTGACTTCATCCACTATCACTTCTACCCATACCCAGATCACCCCGACACCTCAAGCCGTGCTCCCCGTTATCCCAATACCTCCTCCGTCCACACTCCTCCCGACCAATCCCACTACCGACTTCACCCGGGTACCGTCCTCCTCACCCAAACTTGATTTCAACATGCTCGCCACCACAACACCCTTAATGGGTAACATTCCCCCATCCTTTCGGTCAGTGGATATTCCCCACTTCACCGGCCTTCCCCACGAGGACGTCTTCGTCTTTCTCAGCAAACTATGCGATGCCTTCTCCCTCCACAACGTCCCTGTCACACACTGGCTCCCTATACGTGCCATTCACCTCGACAAATTCCTCACCCCGTACAAGGACGCACTCACATCTGCCCCAGACTGCCCACAATTCTTTCATAACATCACCAACGAAACCTCTCTCTCTGCCTCCTCGAACGAATTCTCTGCCCCCGACCCCGACATCCTCTCTGATTCCCTAGACACCACATCAGACGAACTCTCCGCCGTTCACCTCATGCGAATGGAAAAGAGAGAATGCTCTAGCCGCCCTCCCCCGACCACCCTCCCGGGCCGCCTCAAGCAACTCACACCCAAGGAAAGAGCCCACCTTTAGGCAAAAGGTGGATGCTTTCAGTGCATACAAATAGGCCATCAACAAACCAACTGCCCACTTGCTAGACAATTCACACGCCAGCCCGCGACCCCCCAACCCGCTACTTCCGCATCCACCACTCCCAGGCCCTCCTCCACTTGAACACTGTCCCCATGTTCACCACGCACCCGCCCCGACATCGACGACTAGTCTATCAGCCATACCATCGGTGACGATTTCCACCCCACCAGTGACCCATTTGGCATTGACAATACGTCTACATCCCCCCTCTTCGGTGCCGCACATTCCACCGAACGACCTCCGACAAAAGCAACCACGTTGCCGATGCCCTCTCTCGACGCCCCGACCATCATTCCACCGAACGACCTCCGACAAAAGCAACCACGTTGCCGATGCCCTCTCTCGACGCCCCGACCACAAGCCCTCTGAGAAAGTCTATGCCGCCATGAATCGTATCCAACTCCTCCCATCACTCCACCACCACTACACCCAAGGGTACCTCTCTTGCCCGGATTTCTCAACAATCTACAACAAACTTTGTGACATCGACTTAGTCCTCGACTACTCCCGTCACGACCTACTTCTTTTCATTGACACCAAAGGCACTCGCCGACTCACGTGGCCTCTGTACCCAGCTCTTGGCCGAGCATCAGGACGCCAAGATTGCAGGACACCTCAGGTTCCAGAAAACCTTCGACACTATCTCTCGTTACCTCTACTGGCCTTCCCTATTCGTCGACATCAAAACCTACATTCGCTCATGCCCCACTTGTCAAGCCGTCAACCCCTCAAACCGTGCCAAGCCCGACAAGCTACAATCATTGTCGATACCCACCCACCGGTGGCAGTCCATTTCCATGGACTTCGTTTGTGGTCTCCCCGAGACCGATTGCGGACATGATTGCATCTATGTCATTGTTTGCTGCTTGACTAAACGCTCCCACTTTATTCCTTGCACCACATTGCACAGCGCCAAGGATGTCGTCATTCTCTTCTTCGATCATGTCGCACGCCATCACGGTCTCCCCAAGAACATCATGAGCGACCGTGACCCTCGTCTCCTTTCACAATTCTAGAAACACCTTTTTAAAGCCTACGGAACCACGCTCAAGTATAGCACTGCATTCCACCCACAGACCAATGGACAAACCGAGAAGCTGAACAATACTCTCCAAAGAATCCTGCAGAAGTATTGTCATCCACATCAACACGATTGGGATCAGTTGCTCACCGCCGTCGAGTTCGCCTACAACAATGTTGTTTGTCCTTCCACTGGCATGTCTCCATTCTACCTTGACCTTGGCTATCATCCGCGCTTCTCCCCTCGCAACACAACCCCTCCACGCCCTGCCCTTCCCTCAATGAATGGGTAGCAACAATGAATCGACTTCTTAGAGAAGCAACCGAAGCCCTTGAAAGAACACAAGAACAACAAGCAAACAGGACTAACAAACACAGACGTGACGTGTCATTCAAAGAAGGAGACAAAGTCTGGCTCTCTGCCAAACGCTTTGAACCCGAACACGGCTGGTCCAAGAAACTCTCGAACAAGTGGCTCGAACCCTTCCCCATTATGGAAAAAAACTCCCCCGTCAACTATGAACTCCAACTCCCCCATGACATGAGTCGTGTCCACCCTGTCTTCCACGTAGAATACCTAAAAGAATACCATGAATCCCCACCCCAATTCGCTGACCGCGCATATCCTAGACCCCCACCAATCATGTTACCCGCAAGCCCTAAATTCGTCGTCGAAACCGTCATAGGACGAAGAACTACTCAGGTATCTGACCACTCTGAACCAATCACATAATACAAAGTTAAATGGACGGGATACGTTGACGAAGAATCCACAGGGAAACCTCTTGCTAACCTTAACAATGCTATGAAACCTGTTTGCGCCTATGATCGTGCTCACCCTATATCCTAGATACATAATATAACTCAAACCCTAAACCCTTGCATAAACCTCGCCTTGACCCC